ATCAAATGGGCCTAATCGGTGAGTTTTGGATTAGGCCGCATCAAGATTGGGCCTGTTCTTTTCCTCATTGTTAGACCCGTTTTCCCATTTGGGCCGAGGACGATTTTTGGCCCTAACAAACTCCAAGAACATATCTCAACGCCTAAAAACCTCACCTTGTTCTTAAACCATTCTATCTTTCTTTCAGATAGAATCATTCCATTATCAAATAACCTTTTGATCACCAATCTAAGATGATTTACATGTTCTTCTTTGGTTTTACTAAAAACTAGAATATCATCAATATAGACTACTCAAAAGTTAGACAAGTCTCCAAAAACATTATCCATCTTCCTCAGGCATACGAAGAGTAACCTCAACCTCATTATCAAGTTCCTAGATTTGAATTCCCCGATTTGGGTTTAATTCCACCACGCTGGGCTGTGTCAAATATTCTAAAACTCATCGTTTTGGCCACATAAGAGCCTTAGCATTGACTACTGTAGGTTGAATTAGAATTACAGAATCCTGTCCTAGGCCATGAATTGGTTTTCATGCTAACCTGGCTTTGGGAGATGCCTATGGGACTGTTAAACTAGGATGTATGGTTAGTCTCAAGGATCCAAATCTCAAACGAATTATGGTTTTTTGAAGTCATACTTCAGGACTTGAAGATTTAATGGCTTCTAGTGACGGAATAGCAATCCATTATAGGTTGATTTATCGTTTGATAAATTCTATTAATCCTATGCGAATGAACTCCAGTGCAGATATTGAAGTTCATGGCCCGGGCAAGATTCTGTAATTCTAATTCGACCAGACAAAATACAATTATTACAAAAGACAAAATATAATTATTATAAAAGTCAACATCCAATGCCTTCTTTTAATCTGGATCGTTGAATTCTGTCGGGAAAATCCTTGATGTCCACGCGTTATCTTCCGCTTATTTGATACACGTCAGTGTCTTACGTGTTGGATATTTTCAGTTGTCCAAATCTCCAACCTCTAGATTTTTATCAATCTTTGAAGTTATCCACTTCTATGAGATCAATAAAATCTTTCAGAGTCTCATCTTCTAGCTGGGCTTCCTAGTTGTGGGCTAAGACCACCCTCAAAAGATCAATAGTACCTTCCATTAAAGCATGCTTTGATAGATGGGCTAAATCAAACCCTTCTAATAACGTTCTTAACTGGGCTTGGTTATGCTCGAAGAGTTTATCCTGGATTGTTGCATATCTGTCTAGTAACACTATCACTATCCCATTATGGATATGGACAGTAGCATTTGCTTTAACAAGTTCCTCCAGTTTGAATTTAATCAGTAGCAATTTTGCAATATGCAGCCTGGTCCAATCTTCCTCTTCTTTTCTTTGAATTTCCTCTAGTGCATAAGATCTCATTTTTACCTTATTATCTAACACAATTCGGTACCATGGTTCTCCTACAAGAAGTTCTCATATTTGTACAGGTTGTACATTATAGCTTTCTTGCAATGAGGAAGTAATCATGCAAGTAAAAATGCCGACCTTTTGATTCAATACACAGAATGTTTGTTTAACTGCGTCTGGCATATTCGGGTCCACCACCGCTTCCAATACATCAATTTTCATTATATCGATCCATCCTCTATCCAAAAGGTTTTTGCAATAACCTTTTCTAAAGATTTTCCATGGAACGTACAATTCCATAGCACCATTAGGATAAATTGCTAATCCTTGGACCAAATCCATCAAGTCAGCTTTTCCTAATTTCACAATTAGATCATTCAAATTTTCGAGTTTGAGATTTACCATGTCAAACAAATGACATTTTCTCATTACCTCGAGTTTTTGAATTCCTGCTTCATAAAGTAAGGCAGTTCCTCTAAACTCCTTATCTTCATAAAACAGTTTATCAGCTTCCAGTCAAGCAAACCTTCTTGCTAATTTTTCTAAACACCTCTGCAGTTGTACTTCCCCTTGTCCTATCGCCATTGAGATTCTAATTTGGGTTTCCGAATTCTCCTAGAGTGTTTGACTAGTTGAAGTTAACCTTAAGCCTTCTAGAAAGCTAAACCTCTCACAAATATTCACGTCAATTAACCGCTTTTTTAGTGGAGTGTGTTGAGTAGGAGTAGAGATCGCCTGCTTATCCGCAGCTTTCTCCTTTTTAGCATTAACCCTTGGATCTGAAGTTATCTTCAAGGGACAATTCCTCCTCAAGTGTCCTTGTTGTTTACACTTGGAGCATGAGAAGTGATTTCCAGTTTCCTTTTTGTCCGTCATTATCCTGTAATTCTTCAGAGAAGTGTCTGGACAAAAAGTCAACAACAAAGTTAGATTTACTGGATGCGCTTATTATAGAAAGCGATGCGTCTCACTTGTACTGCGGAGGTGTGCTTAAGGCTAATGGTACTGATAATATTGAACGGATTGTTCGATATGCATCAGGAAAACTCTATCCATCTTCCTCTGGAATATTGATGGTGCCTGCTTAAGCCGAAAAGGCAGAACCATCCATTCAAACAATCCTTTCGGACAGGTGAAAGCAGTCAAATGAATGCTTGACTCTTTTATTTTGATCTGCCAGAATCCTGACTTTAGATCGAATTTTGAGAAGATTTTTCCAAATCTAGCTTTATTCAAACAAGCTGATTTGTTTGGTATCTTATAGGCATCATCAACAGTTTTATCATTTAATTGCCTATAATCGATAACCATCCGCGCCTTTCCTCTTTCCTGCTCAACTCTATTCATGACCATGAATGCTGGCGAAGAGTATGGGATTTTACTAGCGTGTATTAATTGCATTTCCAGCAATTCCGGTATTTGCTCGCTAAATTCCTCCTCTGCATCAGGAGTATAAGGATAGGATTTGGTAGTTATCGTATCATCATCCTTCCTTAATTTAAGCGAAGCATATATACCGTTCCTTTCCCATAACTTTAACGGTTGATCATCAAAGCATAGAGAAAGTTCCTCTTTAAAGGATTTTACAAGTTCCTTAATCCTTAAAGAGTTCTTTCGGCTTTTATTTTCAACCTTTAAGATTATCTCTCGAAGGAAATTACTTCTTAAAAAGAGGTTACTCCTAAGAAAGAAAAACTAAAAACTCAGAAAAAAGCAATGGTTTGTTGGTCTTATAAACAAGAAGGACATGAACATGCTTATTGTCCACTACCATGACATTAGATGTTGACTTTTATAATAATTATATTTTGTCTTTTGTAATAATTGTATTTTGTCTTGTCTTCTACAATAATTATGTTTTGTTTTTTTAATAATTAAAGATGTAATAATTTATCTTTGTATGACATATGGGAGACATGTGGATCCCAATATCATTATCTTTGTTTTGTTTTGTTTCATGGATTCAATTCATCTAAAATCTGGACTTCTTTATATAAAGAGAAGTTTATGTACATTTTTATTCAGAGAAAAATTAATAATATACCCAGTCTAACAAATATTATTACAATTAATAACTAAACAGCCTAGTTAATTAATTGGAGAGAAAAACACATAGATACAGTTTTAAAGATTAATTCACACATGGTTATCAATCTTCTTGAATGAACCTTTTCCTCTGGGTAACAAATAAACGCTCTGTGTATTGAATCGAAAGGTCGACACTTTCACTTGCATGATTACTTCCTCATTGCAAGAAAGCTATAATGTTCAACTTGTTCATATATGGGAATTTCTTATAAGAGAACCATGGTACCGAATTATGTTAGATAATGAGGTAAAAATGGGATCTTATGCACTAAAAGAAATTCAAAGAAAAGAAGAGGAAGATTGAACTAGGCTGCATATTGCAAAATTGTTACTGGTTAAATCCAAACCGGAGGAGCTTGTTAAAGCAAATGCTACTGTTCATATCCATAATGGGATAGTGGTAGTGTTATCAGACAGGTATGCGATAATCCAAGATAAGCTCTTCGTGCATAACCAAGCCCAGTTAAGAACGCTATTAGAAGGGTTTGATTTAGCTCATCTATCAAAGCAGGCTTTAATGGAGGTACTATTGATCTTCTGAGGGTGGTCTTAGCCCACGACCAGGAAGCCCAGCAAGAAGATAAGACTCTGAAAGATTTTATTGATCTCATAGAAGTGGATAACTTCAAAGATTGATAAAATCTAGAGGATGGAGATTTGGACAATCGAAAATGTCTAACACATAAGACGCTGACGTGTTTCAAACAAGCGGAAGATAACGCATGGACATCCAAGATTTTGTCGACATAATTCAACGATCCAGATTAAAAGAAGACATTGGATGTTGACTTTTATAATAATTATATTTTATCTTTTTTAATAATTGTATTTTGTCTTGTCTTCTGTAATAATTATGTTTTGTTTTTTGTAATAATTAAAGTTGTAATAATTTATCTTTGTATGACATGTGGGAAACATGTGGATCCAATGTCATTATCTTTGTTTTGATTTGTTTTGTCTTGCTTTACATATTCAATTCATTTGAAATCCGAACTTCTCTATATAAAGAGAAGCTTATGTACATTTTTATTCAGAGAAAAATTAATAATATTTTCAGTTTATGAAAAATTAATTTTCTTAATCTCTTGTTTTACTTTTGAATTACAAACTCGAGGCAAAGAAAAATGTTCATTCAAGAAGATTGATACCCAAGTATGAATTAATCTTTAAAACTGAATCTATGTGTTTTTCTCTCCGATTAATTAACTAGGTTATTTAATTATTAATTGTAATAATATTTGTTAGATTGGGTAGAACAAATATTATATGGGTGTAAATGGTGTAAATGTACGTAGCTTTCCTATATAAGAGTATGTTCGTGTTAGGAAAAACTCACATTTACAGATAATAATTGTGATTAATTGAAAGAAAAATCATTTATTAAATACTAGCATCTTACATTAATGATCATAAAAAGCTTACTCCAGCATCTTAAATACTAGCATTTATTAAACTCGAAATGATCATTTATTAAATACTAGCATCTTACATTAATGAAACCGCTAACTTACAGTTGATAAGATTACTCCAGTATCAGCCCTAGGATTTTGATCCAACGGTTCGCCAGGGCCCTTAGACCTTGATCAAGGGTTGAAATTGGGGGATAACCTTATTAGTAATAGCTCACGTAAGAGCCAAAACAGCAGTCTGGATGGTAATTGATAACCATTCTGGAGAGGAGAGAGATGCCACGTCCTACTGTGGAAGTGCTAGAAACATGAAGGAGAACTATTTTTAATTATTTTTAAATTTAAAAACAGCCTCCTCATATTGGGACTGCTGTTCTATGTAAGAGTGTGCTCATAATGAAGAAGAAACTCGAAAGTAGAACATTCGGGATTTGGTCAAAGAAGAAATGTCGTCTTCTCAAGTTACAGCTGTTCCAACTTCACCACCAAAAACTATTCGTCAAACTGCTGATTTCCATCCCATAGTATGGGGAGATCAATTCCCCAAAGATACTTCTGAACTCAAGGTAATTACACGTACACACTCTATATGAGATTAAATTTCTAAATGCACCCACCCTATGCATGCACATCACAATAAACGTATTTAGCTTCTTTTTTTTTTTTTTTTTTTAATTCTATTTTTGCAGACAATTGATCCTACAACTCAAGAAGATTATGAGCAACTGAAACAAGAGGTAAGATGGATGATAATGGATACATCACAAACGCATGCTCAGAAATTACACTTGATTGATGCAATCCAACGGTTAGGTGTGGATTATTACTTTCCAAAAGAGATAGATGATGCTTTGGAGAAAATTTATAGTGACAATATTGAATATAATGATCTCTATACTGTTTCTATCCATTTTCGACTTCTTCGACAGCAAGGAATTAAGATTGTTTGTTGTAAGTAATTCAAATCTTAAGCTATGCTAAAAATTATTATAATTAAAGCGTACTGAACGAATAAATAAAACATATGTCTAATTGAAGGTTACGTTTTGTATTTTTTTTTTTTGCGGGGTTGTAATTAAGCAGATGTATTTGAAAAGTTCAAAGATGATGAAGGGAAATTCAAGGCATCCTTGATTAATGATGTTCCTGGAATGCTAAATCTATACGAGGCAGCACACTTTGCTATTCACGGAGAAGATAGCCTAGATGAAGCCCTTACTTTTACTACGACTCACCTTAAGTCAATGGTGTCTTGTGCAAGCCCTCACCCTGCAAAACAAATAAATCACGCTCTTAATTGTCCTCTCCGGAAAGGCCTACCAAGGCTAGAGGCAAGATTTTTCATTTCTGTTTATTCAAGAGATGATTTACAAAATAAAACTCTGTTAAAGTTTGCCAAGTTAGACTTTAACATGTTACAAGCAATGTACCAGAAGGATCTCAAAGACGTCCTACAGTAAGTTCCTCTTTGTCTAATGGAATTATATTTTAATATTACTAAGGTGTATATTGTTTTGGTTATATAGTTGAAGATGTATTTCAGATGGTGAATAATGTAGACTTCATTTCAAAGCTGTCTTACGCGAGACAAAGAAAGGTGGAGGAATATTTTTGGGCACTGGGAATTATTTTTGAGCCACAATATGCATTTGGTATTAGGAGTATGGCCAAATTAATATGTCTGTGTTATGTATCAGCACCTGTGTGCTCTGCTCACGGTGCAGAACCAACCCACTCTCAATTCACGGTATTGAGAAGACCAAACAACTGTTTGCAAAACTCTTCCCTCCCTTTCCAAAACAACTCATGGTTACATATAGGCAACCACGTATAACCTCGGAAACATGCATGTCCCATAATAATGAAAAACATTAATCACAAAAGACAAACAACCAAGCAAATAAAAGTAGCAGACAAAAGTCTGATAATAGCCTGATAATAGCCAGTAAAACAATAAATGATAATAAGATCAAATCCCATGAATCAAGCAACGTAATCGGCCAACTTAATATTCGGTTTACTGGTTCTTGTGCTTCTTCTACATGATATCGTGACCTCTTCTATATTCGTATCATTCGCCTCCACTGTGAGAATAACCTTGTCCTCAATGTTGAAGTTTGGAAACTGCTCTTTAATAGTAGAAATGGGTTCCCACGTAGCATCCTCTTCAGGTAATGTAGTCCAACGAATTAACACCTCCCTTACTCTGCCACTCGCACTTTGAACCCATCGTTCACCGAAAACAGAAGCTGGTTGTAACAATGGTAAACCATCATCAGCATATGGAGGTAAAGTTGGTTGCAAAACCCCATGGTCCCCTAGTCGACGCTTCAAGAGAGCAACGTGAAAGACAGGATGGATTTTGGCCTCAGCAGGTAATTGAAGTCGATAAGCAACATTACCAACACGTTCAATAATTTGATAAGGACCGAAAAACTTGCTGGCCAACTTTTGATACGGACGTTTAAGAACAGAGTGTTGGCGATACGGCTGTAATTTTAAATAAATCCAATCTCCCACTGAAAAGACTTCTTCACGTCGCCCTTTATCAACCTGTTGCTTCATCCGATTGCGAGTAATGTCCAAGTTAACTTTGAGTTGGCGAAGAATGCCATCTCTAGAAAGTAAAGTGTTGTCAACCTCAGCTACGGCAGTAGAACCTGGAACATATGAATTCAAAATGGGTGGCGGATGACCATATAACGCTTCAAAGGGTGTCATGTGAATGGAGCTATGGAAAGAAGTATTATATGAAAATTCAGCCCAAGCGAGGTAAGCTTCCCAACGTTTCAGCATTGCATGAACGAAGCAACGGAGATATTGTTCTAAACATCGATTGACAACTTCAGTCTGGCCGTCCGTCTCAGGGTGATAAGCCGAACTGGTGCACAATGTTGTACCTTGCAATCGGAAAAGTTCTTGCCAAAAGTGACTCATGAAAATTCGATCACGATCGCAAACGACGGATGTAGGAATGTCGTGAAGCTTGATGATATTTCTAACAAAAGCATCGGCTACATCCCTAGCGCTGTAAGGATGGGCAAGAGCAATGAAATGGGCATACTTTGTGAGGTGATCAACAACTACAAAAATAGCATCTTTGCCGGCTGACTTAGGGAGACCAACGATAAAATCCATAGACACGTTAGTCCATACACCCGAAGGAAGACTCAATGGCTCAAGTAGGCCAGCAGGGAAGCAGGTATCATATTTGTTGCGCTGACAAGAATCGCACTATTGGACATGTACTCTGACATCTCGTTTCATACCCCTCCAATTAAAAATAAGAGACAAACGTTTATAGGTACGAAGAAGGCCAGCATGCCCACCTACTGGGCTGTCATGAAACTCATGTAAAAGAGATTGCTTAAGAGCTGGAGAATCAGGCACCATAATTCGCCCTGCACGCATGATACAACCATCCTTCAATAAGTGGCCCTCCACAGATAATGGATCATCTTTAAGTTGCCGTATAATAGGACCCAAAACTGAATCACCTTGGGTAACAGCCCTTAATTCACGCCAAACTTACCAAATAGGACCAGAGATGGCATGTAGTTCAGGATCCCACCCATTACGAGATAGTGCATCCACCACATTATTTTCTCTCCCCGGTTTATAAATAATCTCGTAATCAAATCCCAAAAGTTTAGCAATCCATTTTTTTTGCTCAGGAGTAGTAATACGCTGCTCAAGCAAATAACGCAAACTTCGTTGATCAGTGCAAATTTTAAACTTTCTTCCTAACAAATATGGCCTCCACAACTTAATTGCCTCCAAAATAGCCAACATCTCTTTTTCATACGTAGACCATGCTAATTTTGCAGGACCTATTGCCTTGCTAAGGAAAGCAATCGGTTTGCCATTATGAGAAAGTAACGCACCCACACCCAATCCAGAAGCATCTGTTTCAATTATAAAGTCTTCCAAAAAATTAGGAAGTGCCAAAACTAGCGTAGAAGTCATAGCATTTTTTAAATTATTAAAAGCATCTTCGGCTTCATCATTCCATGTGAACTGCCCCTTCTTTAACAACTGAGTTAATGGCCGAGCAATAAGACCATAATGTCGCACAAACTTACGATAATATCCGGTAAGGCCAAGAAAGCCCCGCAATGCAGTCACTGTCTTGGGTCGTGCCCAATGAATCATAGCTTCAATTTTTCGGTGATCGACTTTCACACCCTTCGTGGTAATAATATGACTGAGATACCCGACTTCAGTTTGGCCAAAAATACACTTCAATGGCTTTATATACAAAGAGTGTGCAACCAATATATCCAATGTAATCCGAAGATGTGCGAGATGATCCACCCAAGATTTACTATAAATTAAGATATCATAAAAAATAAAAAAAAATAAAAAACTAAGATAAAGTGACGTAAGTGCACCTTAAATATGGAATTCATTACGGCTTGAAATGTCGAAGGCGTATTGCACAATCCGAAAGGCATTACCAAATATTCGAAATGGCCATGATGAGTCCGGAATGCCGTTTTGTGAACATCGTTAGGATGAACACGAATTTGGTGATAACCCACTCGTAAATCAAGTTTGGAGAAATAAGCCGCACCAAACAACTCATTCAACATATCCTCAATGGCTAGGATTGGAAAACGATCTTTGATAGTCACCTCATTCAGAGCTCGATAATCTGTACAAAACCGCCACGTACCATCTTTTTTTTTTTTACAAGCAAAACTGGCGAAGAAAAAAGACTCGTACTTGGTCGAATCAACCCTGTTGCTAACATTTCCTCAACTTGACGTTCGATCTCATTTTTTTGGAAATGGGCGTAACGATAAGAAGCCACATTCACAGGAGTAGACTCATCCTTTAACAAAATTCGATGATCACATTCACGCACTAGAGGCAATGTTTTTGGGGTCTTCAAAACTTGGGAATATTTTGTTAGTAGATGCTTGATTACATTGGCAACCACTGGCATACTAGATTGTTGAAATTCGTCTTCACCCTCAATAGCCATTAGACAGAACATCTCAGCACCCTGTTTCCATTCCTGCAATAACAAATTAGCATCAACCACCCTCGAAGGCCCAACTAATTCGGCCTTAATGAGATATTTTTGATTGTCCACTGTAAATTGCATAGACCGCTGTGCATAATTGTGTCCCACATATCCCAACCTTTCAAGCCACTGATAACCCAAAACGAGATCCAAGCCCGGATAGGAAGTCCGAATAATGTAGTTTCAAAGTCAAATCCTTGGATTGAAATTGGGACATTATCATATCTTGCATGGCACTCTAATTTATCACTGCTAGCAATTCGAACACAAAATGGAGTAATAGGAGTAACCACCAGATTTAATCGGCTGACCACCGATTGGTTGATAAAATTATGGCTTGAGCCACTATCTATTAACGCATTAAGTTCTTGGTGATGAATCACAGCTCAAACCCGCATGGTACGATTGCCCAAACTCCCTGATATAGCATGCAAAGAAATAAGGGGATCGGTTGGAGAGTCTGTAGCCACCACTTCTTTTTCACCTTCAGCTTCCGATGCCAACGGAATTTCTGCCTCAATTAAATATGTCTAAGCTTGACACCTATGGCCAGGGGTAAATTTTTCATCACAGTTAAAACAAAGATTCTTCTCACGCTTCTCTTTCATCTCCGCAAATGTTAAACGCTTCACTGCCGAAGTTGGTAAAGGTTTTACACTAACTAGCATAGGATTGGACGTAGTTGGAATTGTAGGACTCAGAATACGATTAGTATTACGAAAATTTCCAACAACCTTTTTCGTTTTCTGTATCTCATCTTGATGTTTAGCCAAGTCTATAGCCCTTTATAAACTCTTTGGTCGAAACATTCACACCTCAACTGCTATTTCTGCCTTTAGTCCACCCATAAAAGCACCAAGAAGGGCTTTCTTTGGCCACCCCGTCACTCGGTTAGCCAACTTCTCAAACTCCTGCAAATACGCCTGGAAAGAACCTGTTTGTGAAATCTTACTGAGTGCTTCATCATAATCTTCAAAATCCGTTGGCCCAAAACGACGGAGAATTCTTTCCTCAAATTGACGCCATGAAATGGTCTTCCCATAGTAGGAACGATTGTACCATTACCACCATTGATTTGCCTTACCTTCTAAATGAAAAGAAGCTAACACCACCTTTTTCTTACCCTGAATCTCTTGAGTAGAAAAATACTGCTTCGCACGATCAAGCCAAACAGTGGGGTCTTCTCCTGCAAATCATGGAAAATCAAATTTCACCCGAGAATGCATTCGTAGGGTCTAGTTCTTCTCTTTCTCCTTGGTGTTACCTTCCTCTGAACCTGTATCAGATGCTTGAGAGGAAAAAGACATTTCACTCTCACCCCCAACAAAATCATCTTGCTCGGAATCCTCAAAGTTTGAAGAAGACGATCGTGACCTTTTGGAAGACTTACGATGAAGCCCCTTACGACGACAATTGTTGCGACTCAACGAACGGGTGTTGGATTTATTCAACTCCCAGAGAATGGACTGATTCGTTACACTCATCTCTTACATAGTGAGACGTAAGTCAGAAATCGCTTCTTCAAGTTGCTCCAAACAAACCCTGTTGGTCTTTGCTGGATCAGCCATTGACAGTAGAAGAAATGAATCGCAGATGCTCTGATACCAATTGATATGTATCAGCACCTGTGTGCTCTACTCATGGTGCAGAACCACCCCACTCTCAATTCACGGTATTGAGAAGACCAAACAACTATTTGCAAAACTCTTCCCTCCCTTTCCAAAACAACTCATGGTTACATATAGGCAACCACGTACAACCTCGGAAACATGCATGTCCCATAATAATGAAAAACATTAATCACAAAAGACAAACAACCAAGCAAATAAAAGTAACAGACAAAAGTTTGATAATAGCCAGTAAAACAATAAATGATAATGAGATCAAATCTCGTGAATCAAGCAAAGTAATCGGCCAACTTAATATTCGGTTTATTGGTTCTTGTGCTTCTTGTACGTGATGTCGTGACCTCTTTTATATTCGTATCAGTCTATTAACCCTCATAGACGATACATACGATTCCTATGGTACAATGGAAGAACTCACACTCTTTACAGAAGCCGTCAAAAAGTATGTAAAAAGCTTAAAATCAATCCTTTTCAAATTTCATAGTAAATCTAGAAATTGTATTCAATAATTCAATTTTCAGTTTTAGGCTTCATTAATTTTTCATTGAAGATGGTTATTTGATTTTCAGATGGGACTTCGGCGCCACAGATATGCTTCCAGACTACATGAAATTAATTTACAAGACACTGTTAGTTTTTTTCTGTGAAATGGAGGAATATATGGTTAAGAAAGGAAAACCATGCTGCATAAATTCTCCAAAATTTTGGGTAGGTGATATCTACCTTTGCTTTACAGTACTACTTGCACAAATATTTTTTTCTCAGCAGAGTCTTCAAGGTCGTATGGAATATTTAATTATTTATATTAATATGCTTCCTGATTAGATGCAGAGAATTGTTCAAGGCTACTTTTCTGGAGCCAAATGGTTGAATGAAGGGTACATTCCATCATTTGAGGAATATATAAGTCTTGCAGCAGAAACATCTGCAGTCGAATTGATCACATCAGTTGCGTTCTTGGCATGGATGATATTGCAACTAAGGAAGATTTTGATTGGATTTCCACTAATCCTATGATTATCTATAACATATGTTGTGTAGTTTGAGCAAAAGAGAGGACATATTCCCTCAGCTGTTGAATGCTACATGAAGCAGCATGGTGTTTCTGAAGAAGAGGCAGTTGAAGCAATTACGGAACATGTTGCCAACGCATGGACTGATGTGAATGAGGAAATGCTTAAACCAACTACTATATCAATGTCTCTACTGGAGCGAGTTCTTAATTATTCGCGTGTAGCTCATATATTTGTACGTGTCTTCGTCTGCAAAATTGATAACTGCCAAGGATGAGCTGCCAAATTGGTAATCTGATGTTAGAGAATGATAAAAGATGAATCAAACTTTAAAGTATTTTAACAAATGTGAAAAGGATGATATCAAATATATACCAAATAATTTAAAATGAGCAGTGCTCATGGCTGATTCAACTCCATAAAGACTACGATTTGAGGCTATGCAACAGCAACAGGTGATGGATGATAAGGAATGGGAACGAGGCAGAGATGATCTTTTCTTCTAACTGTAACACAAAAGGACTCGCTTATGTCCAAATCTTCAGGCTTCATTCCATCAGGAAGTTTCCAATCAAAATGATAAAGGTACACTGCGAGAGCAAGCTCAACATTGGCCAGACCAAATATAGATCCTGGGCACATCCTCCTTCCATAACCAAATGGAAGGTATTCAAATTTTGTTCCTTTAAAGTCAAGAGAACCATCAAGGAACCTCTCTGGAATAAAGCTCTCCGGGTCAGTCCGATAGTTTGGATCTCTATTAATTGCCCATGTGTTAACAATCACTTTGGTTTTGGCAGGTATGATGTATCCATTGATCTCGCATTTCTCTGAACTCTCTCTTGGAAGTAAAGGAGGAGGATGTAATCTCAAAGCCTCTTTTATAATTAGCTTCAAGAATTTCATTTCTTCAATGGCCGTTTCATCAATTTTCCTCCTATTAAACACTTCCCTCACCTCAGCTTGCCAAGTCTCTTAGTCCACGATGCGGTAGAACCCCAACAGCTGCAAACTGGTGCAAATTTCCAATAATAGGTCATTTCCATGACCCTGGGGGTAGATTAGAAGTTTTTCAATAGGTGGTTTTGAATCTTTTTTCTATTTTCAGAACCATGAAGACAAAGAGAAGAATGTTGAGAAGAATTGAGAATGAGGGGGGTATGAGCTCCATTGGAAAGACAGATGTGCTGCTATTGTGAAAATTCACTAACTCTAAACCACATTCAATTCCACACAATCAATCAAGAATTAAACTGAAACAAACTCAAGAAGAAAAGAACGCAAGATTTTACCGTGGTTCTCTTACCCAAATTGGATAAGCTACATCTACGTTGAGCTCCAGTAAACTTGAGCTCACTGCACTAGAGATCAAGTTTTACACAAGTACAATCAATATTGAACTCAATCAATTCACTCTCTCTGCAAAACCTCTCTTGACTAAAACGTAACCCTTTCCTATGAGAATACTAAACCAGATCCTCAAAATATGAAGGAAACTCAACCCTCAAATACAATTACAACAATCGCTCAAAGATTACAAGCCTATGAGATGCAACACAAACCTTAACAGAGAAGATAATACTTAATCGCAAAAAACCAGTGTATAAAACTTCCAAATTCGACAGAGAAGCTTTCTTCTATATTGTTGCTAGTGGGAGACATTCTGGCCGTTAGATTCATCTTGTCTCCAATGGTCAGGATCAATTCTTGGAGCTGTCCCATAAAACGACAGTGTTGGACTTAATGCCCAATGACATCGTTTTGGGCTTCACTTTAACATTCTCCACCTTGAAGCTCAAAAACAAACTCTCTGCTCAATCCGAGTCTCCCTAGTGTAGCTACCTCCCAAGAACCCTTCTCAGCTCTATAGTTTGCTGCCTATTTTACAAACAGCAAGTTTAAACAGTGTTTAAACTTTGTGATAGTTACAAGTCTACTGCTAAACTTTGCAAAACTATACCAAACACATACAACACAATTTTAAAAATATAAAAAGTCAAAATTATCAATCACAATATTCGCGGAGATTTAATACTAAATGTAATTTGGCTATTTCATATTACATATATTGCAGATCTTTCACATTCTAACTTCAATAATTGCAAAGTTTATTTTGTGTTTGCTAGCTATTATTATTTTTTTTTTTAAATTGTATTCTTGCCCCATATATTCTGATTTCGAACTGGAATACTAGCCACTCAGAAATATTAGATAGATAGAACTTTGAGCATATGACTGTGAGATTTGAATATTTTAAGAAAATTAATTAAATAAAAAAAAAAAGGGTATATCTAGACATATAATTATGAGCAATTAAAAAGAGATGAATAATCTTAGTCACTTAATTAAAATTTATTATAGGTGAACAGAATATATGCTATGTCCTTAAAATTATAGTTATGCTTTTTAATAGTTGTTACAATGAAAAACGATTACAAAAAGGAACTTATTCAAAATCTTGATTGTCTTTAGGCTATGGTTAGTATGGGCCCTGGCTTCACTTGCTCATGTTAGTCAAGCAAAATGGACCTCAACTCTCACTTTGGGCCTATATCTAACTAGGTTAAAAATATGATGGGAAGTAATTTTAAGTCCATACCAAATTGATTTTCACCCCTGATGACTAAGTACACCTCTTTTATAATAATAATAAAAATAAAAAATCTCTTTAAAACCCATTTAATATGGAAAATAGCCTTTTAAACTTAATTTGGTTTATTTTCTCCTATTTCAAACTTAATTAGGTATTTTATTTTATACCTTTTTTCCCAAATCAAACTTAATTAGAATTTTTTTAATATATTTTTTCCTCCGATTTCCTAGTTTCAACTTATTCTCTCTTCTTCATATTCAGATTCATTCCGTTATGTTTTCTCTATTTTTAGCATTATATTTTCATTAAACAAGCAATTATTTAAAATAAAATAAAAGGTTTAAATGATTATGAAAATTTAGGATTAGGTTACGAAAATTAGGGCTAGGGTTTATTTCAAATTAAAAGTTAAATGTTAAAAATTAATATATATATATATTATATATATATATATATATATATATATAGCGTAATGCCTTTGCTTGGGCAAGTTGTTTTTTATTTGCGTGTATTCAAGTTATTTATACCAACGAGATTTCCCGCCCCTAACCGTTACTTTCCTTCAATCTGGAATCATTCAAAAATAATTTCTAAATTGCTTCTTCTATTTGATCAGTTTTCACATCTCTCATTCTTCAATATTCTCTTACATTTTGATTCTTTGTTTAATTCTGAAATAAATCCAAAATGATCCTTCATTGTAATTCTATCAAACCAGCTTAAAAAAACCCATTCCTCTTACTTCACTCTCCTCTCTTCTCAACAACAACAAAAATATATATGTTTTCACTTGCTGTATTTCACTCACAGATTATTCAACAGAAAACTGATGCAAATACGCATATTTTTCGCCCTCTTCATCAAAATTACCCACCAACAAACCCATCAATTACCTTCATATTATGTCTCTCTTTTGCAATCTTGCATAGCCCATAAAGCCGTAAACCCTGGTAAACAGCTGCTGCCCATATTTTTCACATGGGTTTTGGATTTAACCTTTATTTAGCTACTAAATTAGTCAATCTTTATGTTTTGTGATTCTTTACGTAATCCACATCTGTTGTTTGATAGAATTCCTAAGGGAAATTTGTTTCTTTGGAATGTGCTCATTCGTGGGTATGCGTGGAACGGGCCTTATGAGGTGCAATTGAATTGTATCATAGATTGATTGAGTATGGTCTTTCCCTGATATTTTACTTTCCCGTTTGTGTTAAAAGCCTGTTCTGCGCTTTCGGCTGTTGAAGAGGGAGGAAATTCATGAAGATGCTATAGAACTAACCGGGAAACGGATTTGTTTGTTGGGGCTGCGCTTATTGACATGTATGCCAAGTGCAGTTGTGTGAAAGTGCTAGGGAAGTGTTTGATAAGATTTTAGTGAGGGATGTTGTGTTTGGGAACTCTATGATTGCTACTTACGCGCAGAATGGAAGCCAGATGAATCGCTAGAGTATGTAGAAAGATGGTTTTGACGGTTTAAGGCCATCTGAAGCAACCTCGTGACTGTGATATCGCTTCTGCTGATACTGCAGCACTTCCTCAAGGGAAGGAGCTTCATGGGTTTAGTTGGAGACACAGATTTGAATCCAATGATAAGGTGAAACTGCATTGTTTGATATGTATGCAAAATGTGGTCTCTGTGAGTTGCAAGAATTTGTTTGAGCGGCTTAGGGAGAAGAGGGTTTTTTTCTTGGAATGCGATGATTACTGGGTATGCAATGCATGGCCATGCTACGGAGGCACTGGATTGTTTGAGAAATGAAGAATGAGGCTCGGCCTGCCCACATAACTTTGTGGGTGTTCTATCTCTTGTAGCCATCGTGGTTTGTTAGATGAGGGAAGGAAGTTTTTTGAATCTATGATGAGGGATTATCGTATTGATCCACAGTTCAACATTATACATCATGGTTGATCTTCTGGGCCACTCTGGCCAATTGGATGAGGCCTATAATCTTATAATGCAAATGAGAGTGATGCAAGATTCTGGTGTGTGGGGTGCGTTGATGAATTCGTGCAAAATCCATGGATATGTGGAGTTGGCAGAACTAGCATTGGAGAAGCTGATTGAACTTGATCCAGATGATGCCGGGAACTATGTTTTTTATCAAACATCTATGCTCAAGCTGGAAAATGGGAAGGAGTTGCAAGGATGAGAAAGTTAATGATTGACAGGGAGTTAAGAAAACCATTGCTTGTAGCTGGATTGAAGTGAAAAACAAAACTCATGCATTTCTTTCAGGAGATACTTCACATCCTAATAGTGACGATATATGAAAAATTAAAGTGGTTGCGGACGATGAAGAAGCTGGCTATGTCCCAGATACTGGATCAGTTTTCCATGATGTTGAGAATGATGAGAAGACAAGCATGGTTTGCAATCACAGCGGAGGCTAGCAATAGCATTTGGACTTATTAGCACACCAGATAGAACCAGGATTTTGATAACCAAGAACCTCAAGATCTGTAAGACTGTCATATTGCAATCAAGTTCATCTCGACAATTACAGAGAGGGAATAATTGTTAGAGACGTGAATCGCTACCATCATTTTCATGATGGGGTGTGCTCTTGTGGTGATTATTGGTGAATGAACAAGGAGAAGTCTTTTTGAGATTTCAAATTTATGATTTTATGCTCATTTGAGCAGAATCTGACTATAATCAGAAAATGATTGCTGAGAACGGAAAA